GAAAGAGTTTGCGAAAGGGTTTTAGAGAAGTTTAGCAGATTTTGGAGATTTGGTTTTGGGGTTGTTTGGATGCTTCATGGTATGTTCACCGTTCAAGAATTGGATTACCTTGCACCTGTAGAGGAATGGCCTCGCTTATGTTCTCGAGCATATTTCTCAAAGGGTTTATGAGTGTAGTTGTAAAACTCCAACTAGTTGAATAAATTAATTTAGGACCTCATTAATTTGAAACTTGAGAAAAAATAAAAATAAAATAAAATATCCAACTAACCTGGTTAGAAATTTAGAGTATATTTAGAAATATAGTTGTCATTGTTTTTTAAAGTAATTTTTACTTTAAAATATATCAAAATAATATATTTTTTATTTTTTAAAAATTATTTTTTACATCAACATATCAAAATAATATGAAAACACTAAAAATATATTAATTTAAAATAAAAAAAATTATTTTTTTCAAAAACATTTTAAAAATACAAAAACAAGGCTAATAAACTTGAGTAACCTAGATTTGATCTAATCAAAACTCAATAATTAATCCGTTGATTTTTTATAATTTTTTTTTATTTTTTATCAAATTATTATTATTTTGATACTTAAAAAAAATAAGTTTGTCCTTTAAGTTTATAATCTAAACCTTATCTCGAGTTTGTTAAATTAAATTTTATAATTTTATGATGACAATTTTGTTTTAAAGATTTAATGAGCTGTGCTAAAGCTTTTGTTATGTTTTAAATTATGTGATTAGGTAACAAAGTAATTTAAGTTAGAAGCTATGAAAAAAGAAATTATTATGATTTTTTCACTTTATGTTGAATGATTTGGTTACAGATAAAAGAATTATTTTGAATTTTTTGTGTAAAAAATATATGTTTTATCCCTTTTAGAATAATAAAAAATCCGGCTTTGATTTGCATGAGTGGTTGGAGAATTTAAGAAGAATTAACTTTTGTGCTTGATTTTAAGAAATTGAAAGGATTTTTATTTTTGTTTTTGTAAGCCTATCTTTACAACGTTTTTTCTCATGTCAATATAGGCCCTCCCCCATATATAAAAAGAAAAAATATGTAATCCAAAATTCAAATAAAATATATGTGTTTGTATATCAAATAATATATATATATATATATATATATATATATATATATAATAAAATCTTTTCGGTTACCTTGCACCTGTAGAGGAATGGCCTCGTTTATGTTCTATTATGGGCTTCGAGCATATTTCTCAAATGGTTTGTGAGCCTAGTCGCAAAACTCCAACTAGTTGCATAAATTAATTTAGTACCTCATTAATTTGAAACTTGAGAAAAAACAAAAATAAAATAAAATATCCAACTAACTTGGTAAGAAATTTAGAGTCAAATATGAGAATAAGACTGTTTTTCTTTTAGATGGTATTTAAGAGTTCATTACTGATTATTTTTTAGAGTAATTTTTTTTTAAATATATTAAAATAATATATATATTTTTTTTTAAAATATTTTTAACATTAGTACATCAAAATAATCTAAAAATATTAAAAATATATTAATTTAAAGTAAAAAAAGTAAAAATTTTATTTTTTAAAAAAAAATTATTAAACACAAAAATAAATAGAACTAGTTGACCTCCGTAACTTAAGTTTAATCCAGTCAAAACTCAATAAATAATCCTTTTGACTTTTTATGAAATTTTTTTATTTTTTTTATTAAAATATTATTATTTTGATATTTAAAAAAACATTAAATTGATTTTTTAATCCCATAATTTAAACTTTATCTTGAATTTTTCAGGTTAGATTTTACCATTCGATTATAAGGATGGAGAATAATCTTGTTTTGAAGATTTAATAAGGGTATTAAAGATGTTATATTTTAAATACGGTGATTGATTGATTGAGGTAGCAAAGTAATTTAATTTATAAGGAAAGATTATTGAAAAAAATTATTATGATTTTTTTCAGTTTGATGTTGAATGATTTGGTTATAAGCAAAAGAATTATTTTGAAATTTCTATATATATATATATATATATAAATATGTTTTATCCCTTTTAGAATAATAAAAAATCAGGATTTGATTTGCATGAGTGGTTGGAGAATTTGAGAAGAATTAACTTTTGTGCTTAATTTTAAGAAATTAAAAGGGTTTTTATTTGCGTTTTTGTAAACCTATCTTTACAATGTTTTCTCTTATGGCAATATAGGTCCTCCCCCATATATATAAAAAGAAAAAAAATACATAATCCAAAATTAAAATAAATATATAGATGTTTATATATCAAATAATATATATATATATATATATATATGCTTCTATATATATTTATTATCACACATCAAATAAAATCTTTTCGATCAACTTATAATACCAACAAGGGAAGTCCAGGCTAAGAATGGGCTTTATTCTAAAATTTGGAAATGATTTTCAAGCTCAGGAGAGTTTCTTAAGAAAAAGATCCCATGCTAGGCCTGTTTCAAGGCCCATGGACTTATTTGCCAATGAACTAAATTCTGCAAAAAGTTAAAATTATATTTGTCACGAGTTGCCACATACAGGATATGGGCAAGGGTATATTTCATTTTAATCATTTTTTTTCTATCAAGATAACTTAAATTATTTAGTTCAATTCACCCGTTTAACTGAGTTTAATTTAGTTATTATTTTTTAAAATTCAAATAAAAAATTAATTCGTTTTTTTACTTGTATTTATAATTTAAATAAGTCACTTACTCACCATGTTATTTATAGTTCAAATAAACAATTTTCTAAGTCAACATTAAAAAATCTGATAACTATAGTTATAGTCTCATGTTACATGTTACAAATCATATATAGCACTCTTTCAATTTCTAAATGCACACGCCCACTTCTTCGTATATGAAATTTTCAAATATTAATGTATTAAAATATATATTTTTTAATTTTTGATATTATCAAATTAAAATTACTAAAAAAAAATAATTTAAAATATTTTTAAGACAAATATGAGGAGTAAACCTAGTATCAAACAAGCTTAAAGGTTGCTTGACGACGATTCAGTTGATCATAAAATCGTACATCAACTACCATTATCAGCTGACGGTATGAACATAAAACACTGCATTGTTCGATAAAAGAGAACATTACATGTACAATGAGGTAGGGGCATTATTTTTACCTACCACAACTCTTCTGCTTAATTTGCTAAATACTAATTATAATTAATTAGCTACCCTAAATATTCAAGTTAAGATATAAATTCTCCCTCACCCTTTCTTAATCATTTCCTAAGGTTCTCCTCTCTTCCATTTCAGTGTTAATTAATCCATACACATCACAAGTCTATACATAATCATCGTATACAATCAGGTTCAATGCCCACTAATCCTCTGATCAGTTTCTTCCAATTCTTAAGGAAGAGTCAACACCTTTACCACCACCAGCAAAGAGCTTGGCGATCTCCAGTTGAGTATTAGCTATGATCTCAGTCCTTTTGAGGTCCATCTCGCCCCTCTTAGCCTCGGCTTCTATTCTCATTTTCTCTACTTCTCTCATTGTGTCCATTCTTGCTTGTTCTGACCTCACCACCACCTCTGCTAGCCATCGGATGCTATCCGCTATCTCCCACTCTTCTCTTTTCCCCCATTTTCTTTTCTCCTTTCTCATCTTCAGTTTCTTGGACCTTGTTTTTTTCTTATCACTATACATGGCCGGAGTGCTACTATCTGTGACGTCCATGGCATTCTTGTCCGAGACATGATTTGATAGCTTGGTATCCACTCCATCTTCCTGATAACAAGAGGTTGATTAGAAGCTTCTATGATCACTAGTTAAGAGTTGATCTTTCATGGCCCCATAAGTTGCAGGAACTAATCAGGAAATAATAATCTTATAGTACTCACAACTTAGAGATTTAATTTTACATAAAGCATAAACTAGGTCAACAACATGTACAGAAGCCATGCCACCTTGAACTTCCTAAGAGACAATCAGGATAAGACAAATTTAAGTTTAATTTGTTGATCAGAAGTTTTGCTGTCTTGAAAGAAATATGTTGGTTAAGGATAATTAAATGGTATCAAAGAGAATCACAAGAAAAGGCATTTGATGTCTGACCTTTTGCCCCCTATGATCAACACCATTAGATCCATGTGAGTTTTGACCAATCACAATAACTTGAGGAGGAGGAGGTGGTGCTGGTGGTGGTGGAGGTGTAGGAGTCATGGATGGTGGTGGCGGTTGTGGCACCCCCAAGGTCGGCTCCACTAACAAGATTAAAGGAGGATTAGAAGAAGCTGGAATTGATGGTTGTTGATGTTGTGGTGATGAGATCACAGCAGCTGCTGCACTATTTCCACGTAATAAAAGATCAAGACGTGGATAAAGAGGCCAAGAGGAGGCATCTGCAGTGGCAGATTCTGATCTATACCTTTTCTTCATGGACTCAATCTTGTTCTTGCATTGTGTTTGTGTCTTTGGAGACTTGGTACAATTTGCTCGGGAGGATACATGGCGCGCAACATCTTCCCAGTCATGCCCTTTAAGTTTAGCTCGGTTTCTAAGTATCCATTTACTTTCATAGGCCTCAAGTAAGGTCGAAACAGCTCCCTCACTCCATTCATCTCTTTTTAATCTGTCCCCACCACCACCACCACCACCACCACCAGTAACAATAACACCAGGACCTCGAGGTATTTTTCTTGGAGATTCTTCCTTGATGGTGGTGGAATTGTTAGGGCGAAGAGATGGGCATTCTTGGTTAGTTTCTTTATCCATCTCTCTCCATGCTAAACAAATTTCTTACCTTTCTTTTAGCGGCCAGCATGAATATAATAACCCTTCATTGCGTCTCACAAGTTTAAGAACACGACATAAGAGGAAAGGGAATATGGAGAGCGAGATAGAACAAGCAAGGTGATCACCACTAGCATTGGAGGAGGGAAAAGAAAATGAAAGGATACTAGTAATATTATGAGTGGCCAACCAAGTCAAGAGAAAGAGCCACTGGCATTTGAGGGAGGAAAGGAAAGGAAAGGGCTGTGGGGTTAGATTTTAGGGGGCAAAGGCAATGCTACCATCGAAGAAAGTGGTTCCCTTTGTCAAATGAGTTAATGATAGTAACCTCTTAACCTTTTTCCTTACACTTTTTTGAGCTAGCTAGCTAGGGTGGTGTTATCTTATCTGTGGATGTTGGTTCTGTTGTTGTGGTTGGGTTATTTTGGCTGTTAGCGTTAATGTGAAGCCAGCCAAAGAAGCCCACTGGCTAGCATGAGAGATGGGAGGAAGAGTGGTGGGGGGGGGGGGGGGTTTCTCACCCCCCCCCCCCCCCCGCCATTTTTTTTTCTCCACCACCACTAGTTTAGCATTATGCTACGGTCACTTGACCTCATAGCCTTCCCTTTTGAATCATCTTTTTTCTCCTTTTTAGCTTTGTTTTTTGCCCTTTTGTGCCTTTAGAAAGCATCGGTGGATTCATCACCCGGTAGAGTATGTCCATATATATATATCATACTGGGGCTATACTTTTGTTTGAAAGCCTTTTGGATTTGATGCACTCATTTGGCTGAGGGGCCAATTGCGCCCTGCCAACCACATCAAGATGGTTAATCAGACATATTCTTAAGAAAGATACGATTGTACACAAGATTTGCTATACAATTCTTGCTTTAATAACTTTGATGATAGCTCAATGGCGGAATTAGGCCCCTAATTAATAAGAACTTCACATTTATATTCTTATGCTATATTTTGAACAATTTCATGTGTAATTCAGAATATTGCCTTCCATGGATTGACAAATTAGTTGACTTGATGATGAATAGTAACTCCTTCCGTTTTAAAAAGATTGGATGATGATATTGTAAGCATAATGTAATTAGTCAGTTCTGGATTTACTCTTTGATAATTATGAGTTTGAGGTTATTAAAAATTCATATTAGCATTAATTTTAAAATTCATGAAATTAATCCAAGTTATCCAAATACCTATAATAATAATAATAATAGGACATAAACGTGAGTCTACCGCCAAGGTGTTATCCAAATACCTATAATAATAATAATAGGACATAAACATGAGTCTACCGCCAAGGATCAAATTCATGCCGTGAGGTTTGGGGAAGAAAGACTGGACTGCAACTTCAATGCTCGTGCTTTTCCAATCCATTGTTGTTGAACAATGAACACCGCACCAAATCAAAACAGTGAAACGGCCCCATCTTTCATAAAATTTCTCTATGTTTATACTCAACCATAACCAAATATGATTGAATCCGATCCGGCACAATAATAATCCGGGTTTTAAATTAACATGCTAAACCAATCCGGGTTTTGTAATTATAGCTAAAACATGAAAAATGTGCTATATCAATTTCAAAAGGTAGTGAAGGAATTGGGACTTGGAGTATATGATCATGTTCCACGGCATGAGAGAATAACAGGGAATTAAAGCAGTGTTTGTTTACACGTAAGTTCATAGGGCATCATTTGACTTTTAAGGAGACATGTGTTTAAAGTGAGAGGATCGGTGCAAAGCATCTTTGACAACCAACATGTGGTCGAGCTCGTGGCAGTATCTTGTAAAATTATCACGTTAAGAAAAGAATTACGATGATAAATAGCTTTCTGTGTGGACCTCAAGATGGATTATTCTGTCTCTAAATGTTATGATTTAAAAAACAATATTAATTAAATAGTCTTTCTATTATTAAGAACAAGTCAGTTATTCTTTTGATCAACTAGCCTTGGTTATTTTTAATTTAATATTATTAAAAAAAAACATCGTTTTTTCATATTTTTTTAATTATTTCCTCAACAGCATGAAACTAATTAATTAGCTCTTAAAACTAAAAGAATTAATCATTTAGTTTACTTCTTGAAATAGAGAGCGTGATTTATAATTTATTCCTGTTTAATTAAAAAAACGCCCGCTAGAAGGAGGGCTTGAACCTCCGACCTTGTGGTTAACAGCCACACGCTCTAACCAACTGAGCTATTCCAGCTTCTTGCTGTAGTCATTCTACTGAATTAATTAACTATATACAAAATGTTTTGACAGAGCAATTCACTCTGGGCCCGACATGCAATGAAAGAAGGTTAGGATTCAAGCAAAAGATTTGAATGCAAGAATCATGAACAGCATCAAAAGGCTGAAAATGCCATTTGCAAGCATTTGGAAAGTGGTTGGAGGTAGTTGGAAAAGGAAAAGGCGAGTGGCATTTAAAATTTTTTGCAGAGAGTCTGGTAGTGGTGTGAGGGCTTGGCAATACTGGAATAAATCCTAGCAGATATTGGACCAAGAAGTAATCATGATAGTTACTCCATTTTTGTGGTGTCAGATTGAGCATACAAATACAATGGAATAAAATCACAGATGGCCATTCCCACCTTTCCACAGAATATATAAATAGATGTAAAATTTCATAGTTATTAAACCCGGTGGCTCGGGCCGAGTTTTATTTTGAACCATTTTAAACATCGATTTGATTATGTCATGATAACTTTGCGAACTAGAGTTAGAATATCTTTTGAAAAGTTTTGCTTAAAATAAAATCATTTTGATTCAATGGTTTGTTGACCTAGCAATCTAGTGAGTCGAGTTTTAGATTGAGTCATGCATGCTCTGGACTAACAATTTTTTGGTTATAGGGTTTCAGATCTTTGTAATGCATTCATGGCAAATGTTTTAGGGTGTATTGCCTTCATAACAAGTGATAAATCAAAGACAATGTTGCAGGTTTTGGTGTTGCTTAAGCATGCAACTAGTTACATTATCATTTCATTATTTCCATCATCAATGTATATTAGTGTTGTATGAGCTAATTCTACCATAAAATTAGTAATTAATAATGAAAACATTGACAAAAAATAAAATAAAATTCTTCTGGTGTAAATAACTTTGGGAAATTTTTATTTATAATTTCCTATGAAAATTAAAAAAAATTAAAAAAGTATATAATAGATAATCAGTTCAAGTAATTAAATGGGTGTCGATGTATACTTTTTCAGGACTCAAGATTCTGTGGGTGCCATGGCTGTCATCACAGAGGGTAGTTCTGCACCTGCAAGTAGCCTGCTAATATTATTGTCAGTGAAATCACTCTCAAAGTATTCTTAACGAGTGTTTGCAAAGAAAACAAAAAAAAACATATTTTTGGATAATGTAAGGTGACAAAAATCTACCACGAAATTTTTTTAATGGAAAAGAATTAGCAGCACAAGCTGCAGAAGCCACGACAGCTAGCTTTCAGGAAAGGTATCTTGCTTGGAGGCATCATGCATCCAGCTAAAACGCAGCCCCACAGATGAATTTTAGTCAAATTGGAAAAAGGTATATGAACATGGGACAGGCAATCACGGTTCACACAGTTCGTTTATGCAGGGACTGTTGATGAACAGTAAGATTCAAGCATCATTTGTCTTCCTGCAACCAAGAATAAAGCATCTCTCTCAGAATTACGACCTGTGATGGTGACCCTATAGTTTGAGCAATTATTTCACGTGAAAGCATCTAAGCCACAGATGGTAGATGGTAGAGGTGTGGATTGGCTGGTTCGGTCTACTTCGGATAAAAATAAATTCTACAATGTTTTTTAGTTTGATATCCCGAGGTGGGTTTTCAGATTAATTTGATATCAATTTTAAGTCGGATTCTACGAGTTTACACCTCTTTTAAATAGATCAAGATATGACCTTTACATGATAGGACAGAGCTAAATATGAAAACAAAAAGGAAAAATAACTAAAAATTTAAAAATACCATCAAAACCCAGAAAAAATATCACTCAAACATCATCTACAGGGTCTAATATAAAGAAAAAATAACACTCAAACACCTTCTATAAAACTGTTCTTAACCTTCAATTTTTACTAGGAGGCTACATAAAAAGTCTTCTTGAATTTCGTGTAGACAAGTTAGTCTCTACATGTAACCTTTTTTTTTATGGCGTTGATGTTGTTGCTTCTAAGGCCAGTTTGGTTTATTGACCGACTTGAACCTGTGGTCTGAAAGGTAGCTTTCGTTCACCAGTTTTTTGCTTCTTTTGTTCCGCAAACTACTGTGGTAATGATTATTTTCAAAATGTTTTTTTACTTGAAAAACAATAGTTTTTTTCTTAAAAGAAATTGTTGATATTAACCATCAAAACAATCTACAAATACAGGTGACAGTTTCCCTGCAGCAGTTCCCTCATTACAGGGCTTCAACTTTCCTTCTCATATGCGAGCCCTGTCTCTGTCATGTAATGCTAGAGCTTCTCAAATCTCAACAACAAGATATCTATGACTTAACACCTCCTCGTACCAGCAAAACAAGTGGCTTGCCTTTTCATTTCCAACCTTGTTACTTGACTTGCCATTCTTAAGAACCAGAAGCTGGAATCTGCATGAAAAGTAAGAAATCACATCCATAGAACTCGAGCTTGATATTTTCCCACCATGCTAGTCTTTCGAGCTGCTGAATCCACAGTGACGACGATACCTTGGAGATAAAACGCCATTGAATCCATATATGGTGACAACAGTTACGCAGACAAAGAAAATCTCACCATGACAGCATCTTTTTTGGCCATGATTTTGCAGGTGTCTTTTCTTTTCAAGTGAGAAAATGCTTCGCAAACCAACAAAACCTTACCTAACTTCATGACATTTGGAAGAGCTTAGGGCCTATATACCCTCGTCATCACCATATTATCTCACGGATCACATTCTCATCAACCGACACAATACACCTAAACAGCCGACCCAATTCATGTACGAAGAAATTTTCCTAGGATTACTCTTTCAAGGCTCTATTGGCTCTGATGTAATCTCTTTTATGTTATGTAAATATTAATAATTATAGTTTAAACACTACAAAATTTATCTATTGGTTGTGCTTCTGAGAAGGATTGGTGGAAAAGTGTATTTAACTCAATTTGAGCATTTAGATTTCTATTTAATATACCAAGTAAAGTTACACAAAACTGGAGGTGTCGTACTTGTTCCCAGATCTAACCTGATCCAAGGTTTATATCGTGGTTTGCCTACTCTAAAACATCATCATTATAATTTTTTTAATTGAAACAATATTGAATAAAAAATTAATGAAAAATCTTTAAAATTGACGTACCCGGTCCCATTTGAGTT